GGGGTTAGGGTATTCTGCAGATCCTAACATTCTCAAGAATGAACCGCGGCAGTCTGCCTTGTTTCCACGACTGCGACACTTCAACTTGAGGCCATATCACCAGGAGGTCCAGTCAAGACAGGGCTTCTTTCTGAATCCCAAAGCTAAGACCCCAAACTAAGACCGTACGCCCTGAGCCCAACCAAACCCTGAAAGCCAACGCAGGGTTTTCTTATGGCTTAGGGCCCAGTGAGTCCCGGGCATGTCTTACAATTGCAAAAATCATGTTGTTTTCGCAGCACGGTGGAATCTCGGTAGTTGATAATGAGCTGCGCTGTAGTATGAAGTTCCCCCGAAACCCTGGCTAGACCCTAAACCCTAAACCCTAAACCCGATCCCTATAGCACGGGGTTTCTGATGTCGGATTCTGGCAGAGGACCTGCGAACTCGAGGCGACGAGAGCCTCCTGGACCTTGGAGAAGCACCTCGGCTGAGGAAGCCTGAGCCCTAAACCCTATTCCATTTTGCTGACGAGGAGTGAAAACCCTAAAGCCTAAACCCTAAACTCTAAACCGTCCTTGAAGCTTGCATGCTTTTCTCTGCAGTTCGGGCGGATTTCCCGGCGGCGCGACTCTGTCAGCTGGGCGGGGGGGGGGGGGAAACCCAAGAGCCCTGCTCTACCCCCCAAGCCCTGAAGCCAGTGGGCTGCAGGGAGGCTGAGGTCAAAGTTCGGAGTTTCCGATGTTTCATGGAGTTAGGGTCAGTTTGTGGACCCTGGTTAGGAAGTTCGGTTGTGATTCAAGCTCAAGAAGGTGGAGGTAATCATCAGTTGTGGGAGTTGGGGTTTCGGCTTGTCTAATTAGGTTCCAGCATGCGTTGGAAAACTGGAAAGGATTTAGGTGAGAGAAGCTTTGCCAGGATCCATTAGCAGAACAGAAAGGGAGGCATCCGATAGCATTAGTGCCACAAATCCTTGTGCAGCAGAAGAAGCGAAGCGAAGGGATTGAAACACCACACTTTCATCCCACACAACAGTCCCCTTTTAGCAGAAAGACCTGCCCTTTTGCTGTGGACCTTATTGAAGGAGCCAAGGATGCAATAATGACACTTAGAAACATGTCTCCGAGCTGCCGATATTGGGCTTTTTGGACATGTACGAGTGCGGGAGTGGGCCTACGGAAGCTTAGCTTGGATTGAGCCGTGCATGGCGCTTACGGCTTACGCTTTGTTGCGCCCACTCGTCGAGGTAAGCCTTGCGCAGCTTCAGCTTGGCATCGTGACGCGCAGGCTGAGGAGCACCCGGGGAATTCACTGGGAGGAAGCCGAAGCCGAGTGAAGTGAGGGCTGGTTTCCGGCATCGGTCATCCATATGATGGCGGTGCCCGTTCGGCGGTCTTCATGGCGACATGTTAGTGGCACACTTTTTTGCCAATCCGAATGCCGTGAATCCTAAAGCCACTACAGAATATGACTAATTCACGAGAACACCGCTTCTTGAATATGAAGGTGGGGCGCCTCATGTTGGGGTTTTGGCACGGAGGTGGCTTTCACAAGAAGACAAGACGGAGTACCCGAGAAGGGAACAGCGTTGGGTTTGGTGACTGTTCTCATGATCCGACTTTGACTTGACCTGTTCCGCGCAGTATAAGCCCATAGCACAACCTAATGGTCAAGGCAAGGTTTTCAACCGATGACTCGGAGATTAGTTGGATTGTCCGAGTGGTCAGATGCTGAACGTTTAGACTCTAAAGTCCTGCACCTTGGTCTTGTCCGAGTGCCAGCGTCAAAAGTTATTAGGGTCTAAGGCCAGGTCCCAAAACCGAAAGTAATCCGTACTTTAAACTTCCAAGGCAACGTTGCTGGTACCCTTACCTGTATATTCCGTCGTCGGGTGGCTAACCCTAAACCCATCAAAACCCTAACAACAACTCTAAAGCCTTTAAAAAAGACCCGGAAGTCCTAAAGTGCCGAGCGCTCACGTCCGACGAACCTGTGGCGCCTGTTTGGTTTGTTGCGAGATGTTGAGATTACGGTTTCGGTTTTAGGGACTTGTACATCTTCGCAAGCCAGTTGCAAAAAAGGGATTTGTACATGTTAGCTATTGTAGCCTGTCAGGCCCAGGATATTGGCCCTCGTCCTCTTCGGAAGTGTTAAATCTGCGTCTCCCGCAGCTCCGAACCTCCCTGAACCAATCTAGCCCAAGCTCTGCAACGGAGGAGCCTGCAGCGAGTGGTGCGCCGTGCAAGCGAGTATCATGATCTGCACACCACGGGCTCTTCAGATTACTGGAAGGATCGCTCCGGTTCAGAAGGCTTTGGCTCTTGGGCTCCTCAGATGTGCAGTTGTCAAAATTAGGGTCCCTTAATTGGGGTACCCTAAATAATAGGTGCCGTATGAAAATAAGGGCCCAAAAAGGGACCATAATTTTGACAACCACCCAGATATCTTCACCTCCTGTGTAGATCTCGGCTACAAGCTTCCTCCCAAAGATTCGAACTCCAGCGCGCCAGTGGGGCAGAGAGCAGGATTGTGCAGACCACTTAGAGGAGGCCTATGACGACGCCGTGCAGATGAAGGAGCCGGGTTGATGAATTGCTTCAGGACTGGAAGGCTATTCTTAGACTCATGGTTACGATGCTCGGGCTGTGGGCACCCATGGAGTTGCTTTGAGGGTATGGCCTTGCGCCATAAGGGATCAGGGACAGCAACTCTAGACACTGTTGTCCAAACTCCCACGGCACAAATTCCCACTGCACTACCACCTCAATTGAATTCCGACTTTAGTAGCAGTAGGAGTCAAGTCTCTAGCTTCGCAAGTTTGGCGGCGCAAATACTTGGCGCTGACATGCCCTGACCGGCATGCACTCGAACAGCCCCAAACCCATATGCGTGGTATGATGTGGGTTGCCGATTGTTCGAATCGAACATGCGCAGACACATGCGGCCATGATTTCAAAAACAAGCCCAACATCTTTACAATTTTAAGCAATGTAAACCCCAAAAACCCTAAACCATAGTCACACAAAAATCCGTGCCTGCCCAGTGCAAGTGTGGGACTCGAAATCACTCGGCCCAAACACTCATCCGACCTACAACACCGGAAACGGCGAAGCCCCAGGAGCGGTGCGATGCGCTGAAGGCGGCGCACGAGCTCCATGGCAGAAGTCGGTTATGGCGGGGCCTTACCGGAGATATCGGGGGGCTTTATGGGCTAGCCTCAGGGTTACTGCTGGGATTCTTAGGGTGCCCCGCGATCCTAGAGAGTTCTTGCATTTTGACCCAGGATTTCCAGAACAGCCTTTGCTCATGAACCCTGTACCCTGAGGTTGGATGTTCAACTCCATAAAACCTTCATGGAGCGTGTAGAAGCCCGCAGAAATCCTGCAAACCAGGGTCGTAAGCCCTACTCCCTGTCATCGCCCCATAGAAAACCCTGAACGACCCTGCATGCCTAAAGCCTAGAACACCGCGGTCCCCGACCAATCTGGTGACCGACACCTACGACTCCAAAGAACCTTATTCGCCTCATTCCCCAAACCCTATAAGCCGATTACCAAGAAAAGGACAATAACACCCACATGGAAACTCTGGCAAGAATCATGTCAAGCTCGTAAGGTTTAGCGCTAGGGCTTAGGGGCCTAAGCCCGTAAGCCCTTGGAACCTCGCCAGGCTTGTCCCAGTTGTGAGTGCTGAAACCCAAACCCTAGACCCAAACTGAGACCCTAAGCCCAAAAGCCCTCAGCATAGATACAGTATAGTATAATATAGAAATGCTATATACGATGCTATACCATACCATATTGTACTATACTGTACTATACTATACTATAGATACAGTATACTCTACTATTAATATCTATATCTATATCTATATCTATATCTATATCTATATCTATATCTATATATATATATATTATATAGATATAAGATGTTATATATATATATACACTATGCTATAGATATGCCATAAATCCCCAAGGCAAACGATGGAGCGAGGGCAAGCTCTGGAGATGCAGGGCCGGCACGATGAAGCAGCCGGACAGGCCGGAGCTGGGGCCTTTTGGGGTTTTTAGGGGTTTTAGGGTTTGGGGTTTAGGGTTTAGGGTTTAGGGTTTAGGGGCCTTTTGGGGTTTTAGGGTTTTTAGGGTTTAGGGTTTAGGATTTTGGGGTTTTAGGGGCCTTTGGCGTTTGGGGTTTAGGATTTTGGGGGTTTAGGGGCCTTTTGGGGTTTTAGGGGCCTTTGGCGTTTTGGGGTTTAAGGGGGTTTAGGGTTTGGGGTTTAGGGTTCAGGGTTTAGGCTTTGAGTCCTGGATGCAAAAGGGTTTGGGGGTTTAGGATTTGGGGGCTCGCGGGTTTAGGATTTGGGTGTTTGGGGTTTCGGGGTTTACGGGTTTAGGGTTCGCATGGACCCTATAAAACCCTAAAAGCACAAGGTAGGTTCCGTGGCTTAAGGTAGCGCTTAGGATTTATTAGGGATTTGAGGTATTTACGGGTTTACGGTTTGGCTTAGGGCTTGGGAGGTCTATGTTTTTCACTGTCTTTTTTCTTGTGTGCCAAGTTGTTCTTGTAAAGGCGGGTTCTTTGTCAGCAACTTACGTACATTGCCATGAGGTGGATTCTTCCTGTGGTTCCTGGTAGAAAGGGAACACAGGATGTGGCGTACATCCCGGCTATGGTGGCTTCTGTTGGGATGCTCCACAAGAGCTGGCCTGTAAGCTGCGGGGTTGAAGGTTCAGGGTTGTGGGTTTCGGTGTCATTGGGAACGACAAGGATTTTGACTAGAACCACGACTACGGCAACAACAATAGCAACTACAACTACTACTGCTTCTGTGCTGCGAGTATCACCACCGGAGCTAGTGCTGTTTCCATTTGTCGTAGTAGAGCTATAGTCAGCTATAGCTAGACACGTCGAGAAGCATTGCTAGCGTTGCTGCTGCTATCGTGCAAGCTTGCCACCCTGCGGTGATCGTTCCAGTGCAGAAGACGGCAACCACAAAACAGGCTGAGAAGCTGAACTCCATGCTCTTCTTCCTCACCGCTGCCACGGCGCTTTTCACCCCGGTGCAGTTCATGCTTCTCGGTTCAGACCTGGCACCGGTCGCCTGCTTGTGACTATGGCGACTGGGACTCCGATCCCGGCTACTGTATCAAAGGTTGTTGTCACGTTGATGACGATGATGGTAGTGATGATGACGATCGAGATGGTGGTCGTGATGATGAGGGTGGGTGGTAATCGCGACACGGATGATAGCCTGGGGGCATCAAAGAGCTATGATGACTTAGGTTTTCTCAGCAAAAGCCTTGACAATGCTTACGTGGGGTAAAGGCAGCGGCTTCAGGGTTGGCTGCCTGGTCCAATGTCTGGTGATGTTGCTTGGGGCTCATGTGACATGAGAGGAATTTTTTGGATCTTTTTAAGTTTGCTCGGTTGATCTCGGCCACTCCTACGGAGACAAGGTCCTCTGTCTATGGCATGAACTTCGTGAATGTTGAGGGCGTCCCCACCATTCCGATGCTCCTAGAGAAGGGTGGCTACGAGCGTTTTTGGATTGGGGTCACGGGCTACTTTGCCCTGGCCGTTGCCTGCGCTGGCTGGCTCTACCGGCGCCTGCAGCGAAAGTCTGGAAAGGCGAGGAGAAAGGCGGCGCCACTGGCTTGCTGTTGCTGCTGCCCTCGGTGAGCCTGCGCTATAGGAACTTGAACAGTTCGTAGTTCGCAGTAGCGTCCTATTATGTTGCGTATGATGCATGCTACGAAGGTACGCTGTAACCTTGGTCCTTTCCGGTTCTAATTGCATCATTGAGAAGGCATTTGCACAAAACAATCGAGCCTCATTGCTCTTTGGGGCGCTCCCCGTGGGAGCTTCTGCGCATATGTACAGGCTGCGATGATGCACGCAGCTGGATTTTAGTAACTCTTGGTGCCTCGCGATCTTAAGATCTGGGGCCAGCCTCAGACTGCCAAAGCATTTTCCTGCCCGAAAACAGGCCTCTTGCAGATGTCAGCTTTGCAGAGAGTACACTGCCTCAGCCAAAACCACCACTGCAAGTCTAACCAACTGAAGCGCAGCTTACCTGTAGCTTACGAGCTGCGCCGATAGTTTCGGTGTGGTTGTAGTGGCGCAGGGAGTGGACCAGCCACGCAGCACTCTACAGCCACGTGGGGTGACCCTGAGCTTTAAATCATCGACAGGCGATGGCAGCACAGATGGCAGCGGCTTTTACAGCTTCGCGTCGTCCAAGGATCGCTTGAGAATTGATACTTTGAGTTTGCACTTGCGGGTTTGGGCTAGAGTTAGACGTCGGAGGGCTGCAGGAGCCCGAGCTTCAGGTTTTAGAGGCTTCGGTGTTTAATTGTGATTTGGGGAAGCTTAAATTAAACCGTAAATCCTAATAGGTCCTAAACCTAAACCGACGCTTCAAACCCACCCTGAAATTGACCCCTTCTGACAGTAGGGGCCTCCTTCCCTCTTGAGGTGCAGATCCATAAGGTTTAGGGTTTAGGGTTCATAAGGTGACAGTTGCGGGCCTTGCTTTGGCTGGCACTGGGTGGGCGATTGAGCCAACGTGGGCTACAACCCCCACATCCTCAACCTTTGACCCAGAACCCCATACCTTCACGCCCCGTATGGGAGTTTCCGCAAATTTGGGGTACCTTATTTTGCGGTCCCTATAATAAGGATCCTATTATTTAGGGTACTATATGAGGGTCCCCTATTTTCGGAAACCCCCATATGATCCCAAATTCCTCGAATTCGTCCCATGGGTGCCTTGAAGTTGATGCCTCGTAGGACCGTGGAGCTTGAAACATTGTGGTCTCCCCCTGGTCGAACCTGCACTAAACATATTATTGGGGGGGAAACTTGTTCGCCCAATAATATGTTTAGGGCCTAAACCCTGAACCCTAAACCCTAAACCCTAAACCAAACCTTAAACCTTAAACCCTAAACCCAATTTTTTTCACCAACAATATGTTTAGTCATTCGAGCCCGAGTCCAATCGAGACCCCCTCGGTCTGAAGAAGCCCTTAAGCCCAAAGAAGCCCTGGAGCCTGAAGCCTGAACCTTACAGTAATTAATTATAGTATATAGTAGTATATATAGGTATCTTTAAATATATGTTTTATATTGTATTTTGTCATATGATATCAGATACTGGTATATTATATCACTATCATCATCATCATTACGGCTATTATGATTATTTATATTTAAACCCTAAACCCTAAACCCTAAACCCTAAACCCTAAACCATATATATATATATATATAGAGAGAGAGAGAGAGAGAGAGAGTATAGTATGTTCCCTCCGCCTTCGGAGGCCATGGTCTCTTCAACAGTGCAGAAGCCTTTGCCCGGCCCAGAGCGAGAGGCCGCTTAGGGTTTAGGGATTCGGGTTTAGGGTTTAGGGGCTTAGGGTTTTGGGTTTGTTTAGGGATTAGGGTTTAGGGTTTAGGCTTTAGGGTTTAGGGATTAGGGTTTAGGGTTTAGGCTGTAGGAAGCATGGATGAAAACGATGCGAGTGTTCCAAGGATCTAAAGGTTCGAAGGATTTACGGCTTTGGATTCGAGGGCTTCAGGCGTTTTTGACTTTTAAGTATACGTTTCTTGGTTTCGGGTTCGCTTCCTGGTTTCAGGTTCAATGTGACCATCTCCGCTGCCATCACGACCACCTTGAGGCATGATCATCATCACCAGCATCGCCATTATCGAACTACGGGGTTTGCCAGTATTCAGTATTACGTCAGTCTGCATTGTGTCGGAAAAGATGAGATGCTGTCATTTACACCGCTCTGGGCATGTGTGCATCCGATTTGCTTTACATATGCTGCTCCGCCACACTGCAGGGCACGACGAATCCATGCCCTTCTCAACTTTGGAACGCATTCCGCGAAAGGTTCCGCGACGACGACGCCCGCGACGACGCTAATTACTGTACTGCTGCTGCTATGACTTGGGAGGACGACGGAGAGTATGATGATAGCAGGTACGACGACATGTAGTCCCGTCCCTAAACCATTGAGGATCAATACTCAAGCCATGGTTCCAGGTGTTGCCCATAGATGAGCACCGTGACGAAATCGTGCGCACCATTCGGGAGTGCTGCCCTGAGGTACCGTCTGGGTGGTCTGCGGACTCTGCCGAAGGATGCAGGAAGCCATTAGTCTAACGTAGGGGCCCACCCTTTGCACGCTGAGGCCCCGCGTCACTTGCATCCAGGGTGAGACGGGCTGCGGAAAAAGCAGCCGAGTGCCGCAGTATGTCCGAAACCCAGATGGAAGAACTGCACGCCTCAACACTAAATCCTGAGTCCTAAACTCCCGGACCCGACACTATACTGTAGATCCGGAATGCAGGCACTAAGGCCGAAATCCCATGACAAAGTCCCCCCATCGCTCGCGAATCTCACAGATCTGGTCGGTCCTTCCATGCCCTTCCACTGTACAGGGCCCTGTCTTCAGTGGTTTACGGTATTTGGGGTGAACGGCCAGTTTAGGGTTTAGGGTTTAGGGTTTGGGTTTCATCGGTGCTTGCCTGTCGGCTTCAGTCAAGATGATTGAAGGTCGTGGTCTCTCTTGACTAGTACTAGAGTCCAGCAGCAGAAAGGGCGTCTTCCTTGAATTTGTGGAACCTCATATACATCCTATGTTGTCCACAAAAACATTGCCAGTTCCATGTTCGTTATCAATATAATTACGGTGGGTGCTCTTCTCTGTGTTGTGATTGTTCTACACTTTGTATCCCTGCCTACCTCGTTCTAGATGTTGCCAAGATGTTCGTGGTTTCTTGCCGCCGTTCTTGGAGCTTCATTTCCATGACCTCAGCATTCTTCCCATCGGCACGACTGCCTAGGGCCTGAACCATAACAAAGCAACGATCAATTCGAAACGCTATAGCCCAGAGAAGCTCACAACTCAACCCTACATCTCTTCTTGCCCTAGGCTTCGTCCTAGCTAGGTGGCAGGCAAAAATCTTCCCCTAAACCTGCCTGAGCCCTGAAAGTTCCGAAGCCAGCCCAACGCAGTGCGTAAAACATGGCTTGAGGTTTTGGGTTCAGGGGTTCCCGGAGCCTGAATCTTTAATTCCAAGCGACATCCCCAACAGCCAACCCCAAGCCCGATTCTCCGAACCATGAAGGCCCCTGCTACTTCCGATGATGTAACAAGGCTGCTGACAAAACAAATGCTTTTCTGAAACTCTTATGGCCTAAAGCAGTCATGACAAGAATGATGAGAATAAGAGCTCTTACTAGCCGAGGTCTACCACCTCTGTCGGCCCCCACCGAAGCGCTCGGGCGATCCTGAGCGTCTCATTGCCGGCCGGCCCGGTTTGTCTTCAGGATTTGTAAGGGTTTTAGAGGAATCTTTCGTCATTTAGATATATTATGGTACGAGAGCAAGTACTTTCTTTCATTTTGGGTTTACTGGGCTTATAGATCTGGGCTCCAGAATGTTCGGACCTGGGGCTTTCGGCCTATGAGATCTAGCGGCTTCGGAATTCTTGCACGTTGGGGTTTGGTTGAATCAGGGTTTTTGACTTTGGGCTGCGGGATTTAGGATCAGAGTAGAAGCAAGAAAGTTCAAATGTGTTGGGTTAGAGCGAACCCCAAAAAGTTGGAAACTGGATTAAGGACAAATAGTGTTGGGATTCCCTATGCATTTCTCTTAAGGATTGAGGCTATTGGGTTTCCAACTTGTGGGCTTCTGCTATAGGTAGGCCCCGAAGCAGTCATCTCAGGTTGTTGGAGATATAGAGTGGTCGGACTATACTTGTCCTTGTCGCTGGTGGCATTACCTACACAGAGTGCAGTAAGAATCGCGAAGCGCTAAGTTGCTTAGCAAGTCCGGGGGCTTTGCGAGCAGATCCGAGCGATCGGGCTGCGGAATCTATATGGTTTAGAGTTTTTGTTTAGTGCCTTGAAATCAACACGACGCTTCCAACTCGTTGGGAAGTTTTTTTTATGCCTAATTGTGGCTGACCCGAACGCGTGAAAACCGAACCCAGCCCAGAGTGATCAACAGCTAGAGTCTAGCGACCCTCAGCTATCGAGCTCTGACCCAGCTGTAAACCCTAATCCTAAACCCTATAGAGCTTTGCAGGCAAAGCTCATGGGAGGGTGTTGCAGCTGCTGAGGTTTGCACACAGCCGCGTCGTTTGGCGGCCATCTCGCTTGCACAGCCCCGGGTCCAAGTGGCAGAGTTGCAGAGATTCCATGAACTAGGCCGGCCTAGGGCACAGCGTATATATAAGATGGTAGTCCGACTGTCCTCATGTCTATCTAGCTGTCTATCTATCGATCTATCTATGTCTTTATCTATCTGTCTATCTATCTATCTACCTGTCTACCTGGTTATGCGCATACATAGATTCAAACACCTTTTCCGAGAGTTCGCTGAAGCCGATCGAAGCCACAATTTTAAGTGCTGATATCTGACTGGTTTGCTGGTGTTCTAGTGAGGTTGACTTGGTTTTGTGTCGGAAGGAAAAGGTAGATGACCTCAGAGTGTGTAGGGCCATACCGCGAAGCGCTTTGCCGAATCCTTCCCGCTTGATCCCACTGTTTGCCTTTTTGATGGCATGGTTACAGGATGCCCTCCAAACGATTTAAGCCCCTCGAAACTGAAACCTTACCCTTAAACATCTGGGCTGAACATCCGCGAAAACCCTTCTGCCAACCTCCC